ACAGAACCAACAGATCTGTGTTGGAAGAAGTGCAGCCAGAGTGCTCCTTGGAGGCCAGGATAACCAAACTTCATCTCTCATACTTCAGACATATTGTCAGGAGGGACCAGCCTCTGGAGAAGGATATCATGTTTGGTAAGGTGCAGGGTCAGAGAAAAAGAGGAAGACCCCCAACGAGATGGATTGGCCAAATGGCAGCATCAACAGACTCAAGTGTGACAATTGTGAGGCTGGCCCAGGACCTGGCAGTGTTTCATTATATTGCGCATAGGGTTGCTATGGCACCTAACAACAAAGTTTCGAATGCCTTGGGCTTAGGAGTCCCTGTCCTCAACGTGGGGGACAGGAGCTGGTACTTCCAGGCTGGCAGGGAGGTGGGGTTGGGTGAGGAACCAAACCACCTCAGACACCTGTCCACCCCAGATCCCTTCCAGGGCCTGGGTCTTGCAGCCTCCCAGTGGTGTGTGGGCTGGTATCACCCTCAATGGAAGCAACTTTCCATTCACGATAAAGATCTTTGGACTTACAGGCCCTTGCACTCTTTCCCGGACCAGGGGCTGAAAATGAGAATACCCAACCCAAATCTAGTGCCATTGATTCGGACTCAGAGACCCCACAGGACAGGGCAGAGGTGCCGCGGAGAATTCCCAAAACTGCTTTACAAGAGCAGCTGGTCAACTCAAGTGCCCAGTGGAACATCTCACACACGGGGCCACCAGGCTTCCTGACCTGAAACTGAAACCCTACTCAATTTTACATCTCTCCTGTGAAAGCCCACTCCTCACTCACAGACAAGCACAGCTACAAACCTCCAAGTCCCAGTGGGTCTACAGAGGGACACTAGCTGGTGCAGTAGGACTGGAGACCAGGGAACCCTGGGGAGTGGCATTTGAATGGAGACTAAGGGATGAGAGGGAAGGAGCCACCTGTAGACTGTGGACAGATGTGCCTGTGGGCCTGGAGAGGAGGCAGGCCAAAGGCCCCTCCTCCCAGCACTCTGGTGTCGTGGGTTCTGCTGGACCCGAGTCCCTCTGCCAAGGCCCAGACCGCACAGGAAATTGGACTATGGCCTGAGAGCAGGTGAGAGAGGGCTTCGGACTTCAGAGGTGGGAGCCTGGCCAGTGACTGCTGTGGTGGGTGGGCACACACACTGAGCAGCATCACTCCCTGCAGGAATCTAGGCTCTGTACCTTCTCTGGGAGCCCCCCCAGACACACAGGGTGCATCTCCCTGCAGGAATCTAGGCTCTGTACCTTCTCTGGGAGCCCCCCCCCCCAGCGCCCCCAGCCTCCCCAGCAGCAGTGGAGAGTTGTACAGAAGTGCAGAATGAAAGCCCTGTGGCTGTCGCATTGAGCCACACTCCAGCATCCGGTAGCTGTGAATGACGCTGGGCAGCTGCTGAGTGATGGAGACAGGGAGACGGAGGTCAAAGCACTGGGTGGTTTCAAGGGCACAGTGTGATGGACGACAGGGGAGCTGAGCCTCGAACCCTGAATGCCCACAAGCTCCCCACTGCTCACTCAGCCCCTCCTCTAGACCCTCCCAACTAGAGCACTGCCCACCTCGCACACTTGCCCATCTCCCCTCTTAGCGGTGCCCATTGGTCCCCACCAACATCTGCCCATGAACGAAGGGGCAGTGTGTCACATCCAGCAGCAACAGGAAGTCCACGAGTGCAGAGAGTCAAATGAGGGGCAACCGCAGGATCTGAGTACAGGGACAGCGCACTGATACAAGATCAAGGCCAAGAGCGGTGATTCTGGTGCAAGGAGACTTCAGACTCAGCAAGGGCTCAGCCCTGTTAGCCTCCAGAACAGACGGGAGAAAAGAGAGTAGTGAGCCCTCGCTTCCCCCAGGAGAGGAGGAGCCCGAAGTCTGGAGCTGGGCTGGTTGGAAAGGAGCAGCAGCAAGATGGCCGGCAGCAGAGCCAGCTGGGAGGGCCTCAGGGCCTGGGCTGTGGCGGCTGCCCCTTGGCATCCAGCAGGCTGATGAGCCGGTCAGCCTCCCGCCGCCCGGACAGCAGCGCCCCATGCGTGGTCGAGTAAAACGTCCGGTGTGTGGCTTCCCCAGCAAACAGGATCTGGAGTTTCAAAAGAAGGGCCAGGTCACAACCACATGCAATTTTGTTTTCCACTTAATCCCGCATCCCTATGTGAACACAAGACAAAAGCCAGGTAACAGTATTGCCACAAATAACACCACCAGTGGAGGGAGCTACAGAGAACAAGAAAAAGCTCTTGAAATGTAAACATGAAAAGCAAAATTTAAAATCAACAGCAGGTTCGCAAATGGTGGAGCAAAAGGAACAGAGGTGGAAGTTACAAGAATACTTGAGAAAAACAGACAAGTCCAACATCTAAACTTCAAAAATCCCAGAAAGAGAGAAATGGAAAAAACACTGGAGGGGAGGAGATGGAGCCGATATTGAAGAGAATTCCCAGGTTACGTCTCCACAGTCACAGTGGGCCAACAGCTCAGCACAGGATGAGCGCCCTCTAGGGTGAACGTGGAGAACAGTCACGAGTGGAGACGCACCACAGGCGTTAATACAGACACAGAGGTTAACAGCATCAGATGCAGAGGCAGCTCTCCACCAATGCTGCCGCTTAATACTTCGTCTGTCAAGTTTCCTAAGATATCTAAAAACTCCCAGATGATGTAAGAAGGAAAGCAACTGAAGGCTCTGGATTTCCCGACAGCAACACTGGAGAATGACTTCAAACCCGAGGGTCATGGTTCCCAAGCTGGAATCGTCACCCAATATGCAGTTTGTATCTGGCTGTGAATTTGTTGACATCCCTCCAATAGAGGGGCCCTGGTGGTACAGTGGTTAAGCACTCAGCTGCCAACCAGAAGGTCAGCGATTCAAACTTGGTTAGTGAACGCTGTGGCCATCTGTTTAGAATGAAGATGACATGCAGCCCTACTGGGTCATCCTGAGTCAGAAGTGACTAAGGTTAGGGCCTGGACTTTGAAGCAGACTCACCTGCATGGACCCTACGTCACCACTTCCTTAGTCTGGGGGCGCAGTAGGTTAATAGTTGGGCTGCTAACCTAAAGGTCAATGGTTCAAACCCAGCAGCTGTTCCATGAGAGAAAACGGAAGCTGCGTATTTCCATAGTTGCTCTACTCTCCTACAGGGTTGCTGTGAGTGAGAATCACTCAACAGGAGTAGGTCTGGAGGGTTTTTAGTTTAGCTATGTGAACGAAGCCCTGGTGGCACAACGGCCAAGCACTCGGCTGCTAACAGAGGTTAGCGGTTCAAACCCACCAGCTGCTCCATAAGAGGAAGATGAGGTCATCTGTTTCCATAAAGATTACAACCTTGGAAACCGTATGTTGTGTTCCAACTCACATGGACCCTGTCTAGGGTTTCCGAGGAGCGGCTGGTGGGTTTAAACCACCAACCTTGCAGTCCAGTGCATTATCCGGCAGCACCACACCCTATAGGATGTCCTATAAGATCACCATGAGATGGAATTTCCTCCTACAGAAAGGAGGGGCTGTGCCCCATCCCCTTGGGTCGGGCAGGCTGTGTCTGCTGCGGCTCCCACACCACAGACACCTCGGGCTGCCATTCTGTGAGGGAGCCACACAAGAGGCCGCACATGCTCGAGGCCCGTCTTCACATTACCCAATCTGACACAGACTGAGTGAAGGAATTCCAGATGGTTCTACAACCCTAGCTCTGAATCCCCCCTCCTGCTGCAGACATCACAGAGCAGAGACAAGCTGTCCCCACTGTGCACACCCTGAATGCCTGACCTAAGAAAGGGACTGTCCCACCACTAGGCTTGGGCACTTGGTATGTAGCAGTTGGGTCTGGAACACTGTCCGGTGTAAGGAGAAAAGACGTTTTCAGACATAGAAGGGCTCTAAAACTTGACCTCCTACACACCCTTTCTCAGGAAGCCAGCAGGGTAAACGCTCCAGGAAAGCAAAGGCAGAGCTCTTTGACTGGAATACAGGAAACAGGGTCCAGAGCACGAACAAGGAAGAAGGAATCACCAGGGTAACAGCTATGGAAGAAGATCCCAGGATGAGGGCCAGGCCCAAGACACAGAGCTCCAGGCAGGGAGGCGACCGGTGCCAGCTGTGTCTGCAAGAATCTGGACAGACAGACAGAGGTGCAGACTGCTGGGGGCAGGGAACTCATACAGCACACAGAAAGCTAGTCAAGCCCACACACTCGTGACAACACATGCTTGTGAACCCACGCTTACATCCCACACACAACCATGCTCTCATTCTCTTCACAGTCTCACACACTCAGACACCCACAATGCTACACACTCACGCGTGTGCTCACACACGTGTACACTCTCTCCACAGTCTCACACTGAACCACACCAACATATACTAACACACTCAGATACACACAACCCCACACACTCAACACTCACGCGTGTGCTCACACACGTGTACACTCTTCCTCATTCTCACATTGAACCACATCCACGTACACTCACACACACAACCCCACACAGTCACACACACACTCACACCCAGACACACTCATTCTCATACACTCACACAATCTCACACACACTCACATACACACGAAGGAGTAAGGAACGAACACGGCCCCCTCACAGCACAGGTGCAATGAATGTTTCCAGGGTAACAAGACAGCATAGCGCTGCCGGGCTACAGAACCCAACAGGTGAAGGACTCGGGGAGAGGAGGAGCAGGGGAGCTGGGAGCTGCAGAAGGCTGAGAGATGAAGAAAGCCGAACATTCTCTTCCATACTCGGTCAGTAATACCTGCAGCTGAGAATCCCAGAAGTAGCATTACCAAACAAGCAAACGAAGAAGGCTCTGAGACTGCTGGGAAGCTGAGCACCGGCGGACCAAGGCGCTAAGTGTGACAGTAACGCGGGTGGTGAGTTCGAGTCTGACATGTCTACAGATGAACTGATGTCATGTACAGGCTCCACGTGAAAGCAGTAAAGGGGATGTTAGTTGTGGTGAAGGGGAAACAGGACTCTTGTGAACTGACAACTGGGGACGTTGAGGGACACAAAAGTCCCATCTGCTCTTGGTCACATTTGAAGTTTTCCCCAATAAAGTTTATTGTGTTTTTTTAAGTGGCAGTATGAACATCTTACTTAAAGATATAGTAACTGTAGAAACAAATCAGCTAAAAGAGCAGGTGTTTCTAGGGCGAGGAAAGGGTGCCCCACCCCCACCCCCCACCCCCGGGCCTGCTGAGCTTTGGTTTGGTTTTGTCAGGCAGCACTGCATGGGTATTTAAGCATGTGCACATAAAATGTTGATAATATGTTTTAAACCTCTTAATTTCAAGAAGATATTGGATACTGAGTCATGAGGTCCAGCCCCCTGGCAGCCCCAGCAACCTCTCAAGGAGCCTTTCCTAGTTTTAGGGTTAGGGTGCCACCCTACCTGGGCCTCCGTGTTGTCTCCAGGGAGGGGCTGAGCCAGCAGGTCGATGTCGTCCCCAGTGCTGCCCACGGCCACATAGCTGTAGGAGCCCCGGGTGTAAGGGTCACTATGCCAGCAAGACCGTAGCACGCTCCTGGGTGCAGGGAGCTGTGGGTTCCCTGATACAGAGACAAGCCCGTTAATACCACACTTCCACCACATCTGAAAATCCTCCTGTCTCTAAGCAGTTTCCGAAATGAAAGGGAAGAAACCAAGCCCTGTCCATCCCATGTGCTTCAGTAAACTACATGCAACACAGACAAGAAGTGCACGCTGCTGAGAATGGCCAGCTACACACTGCAGCAGGCAGACGGGTGGTCC